GTTTCGCTCAGTTTTTTTGTATCATGGTTATAGCCTATCTCATCAAGGAGCAAATGATTTCTACGTTTATCAAGAGCTCTTACATCATCCTGTAAAAACTTATCAATTTTGCTCATTTCCCATTATAATGGGTATAGCAAAACTTTTCAATCAGCAAATGATTTCTACGTTTATCAAGAGCTATTTCATGAGACTACAAAAAACCGTCAAATCTTCTCCTCTTTTTTTGTTATCATGGTTATAGCCAAACTCATCATCAGTAAATGATTTCTACGTTTGTCAATATTTTTTTCGTGAGCCTACAGAAAACCGTCAATTTTGCTCCTTTTTCGTTAGCATTGTTATAGCCAAACTCATCAATCAGCAAATGATTTTTAGGTTTATCAAGATATCTTTCATTAAACAATAGAAAGTCGTCAATTCTGGTTCTCTTGTTTTGTTATCATGGTTATAGCCAAACACATCAATGAGCAAATAATTTCTACGTTTATCAAGTTCTTTTTTATGAACTTGTAGAAAACCGTCAATTTTGTTCATTGTTTTTGTTATTATAGTTATAGTCAAACTCATCAATCTGCAAATGATTTCTATGTTTAGCAACTTCTCTTTCATCGGATTGTAGAAAGCCGTCAATTTTGTCTCTCTTGTTTTGTTATCATGGTTATAGCCACACTTATCAATGAGCAAATAATATTTACGTTTATCAAGGGCTCTTTCATTACAGTGCAGAAACCCATCAACTTTTTTTTTTAATCATGGTTATAGCCAAACTCATCAATCAGCAAATGATATTTATATATATCAAGGGCATTTTAATAAAATTGCAGAAAACTGTCAATTTTACCCATTTTCCGTTATAATTGTTATAGCAAAACTCTTCAATTAGCAAATGATTTATACATTTATCAAGAGTTCTTTCATCAAATAGGAGAAAACCGTCAATTTTGCTCTCTTTTTTTTGGTATCCTGGTTATAGCCAAACTCATCATCAACAAACAATTTCTACGTTTATCAAGAGCTTTTTCATGAGGCTGCATAAAACCATCATTTTTGCTCTTCTTGTTTTTTGTATCATGGTTATAAACTTCTAAATCAGAAAATAATTTATACGTTTAACAATAGGTGTTTCATTATGCTGTAAAAAAACCGTTAGTTTCGCTCATTTTTTTGTTATCATGCTTATAGCGAAACTCATGATCAGTAAATGATTTATACGTTTGTCAATAGTTTTTTCGTGATCCTGCAGAAAACCGTCAATTTTGCTCCTTTTTCGTTATAGTTGTTATAGCCAAACTCATCAATCAGCAAACGATTTCTAGGTTTATCAAGATCTCTTTCATTAGACTATAGAAAGCCGTCAATTCTTGGTTCTCTTGTTTTGTTATCATGGTTATAGCCAAACACATCAATGAGCAAATAATTTCTACGTTGATCAAGTTCTTTTTCATGAGCTTGCAGAAAACAGTCAATTTTGGTCATTGTTTTTCGTTATTATAGTTATAGTAAAACTCATCAATCTGCAAATGATTTCTATGTTTATCAAGTTCTCTTTCATCGGATTACAGAAAGCCATCAATTTTGCCTCTCTTGTTTTGTTATCATAGTTATAGCCACACTCATCAGTGAGCAAATAATATTTACGTTTATCAAGGGCTCCTTCATTATGTTAAAGAAACCCATCAACATTTTTTTTTTATATGATGGTTATAACCAAACTCATCAATCAGCAAATGATATTTACGGTTATCAAGGGTATTTTTATAAAGTTGTAGAAAACTGTCAATTTTACCCATTTTCCGTTATAATGGTTATAGCAAAACTCTTCATTTAGCAAATAATTTATACATTTATCAAGAGCTCTTTCATCAAATATGAGAAAACCGTCAATTTTGCTCTCTTGTTTTTTGTTATCCAGGTTATAGCCAAACTCACCATCAACAAATGATTTCTACGTTTATCAAAAGCTTTTTCATGATGCTGCATAAAACCTTCATTTTTGCTTTTCTTGTTTTTTTTATCATGGTTATAAACTCATAAATTAGAAAATAATTTCTACGTTTATCCATAGGTGCTTCATTAGGTTGTGAAAAAACCGTTAGTTTCGCTCATTTTTTTGTTATCATGGTTATAGCCTATCTCATCAAGCAGCAAATGATTTCTACGTTTATCAAGAGCTATTTCATCATTCTGTAAAAACTTATCAGTTTTGCTAATTTTCCTTTATAATGGTTATAGCAAAACTTTTCAATCAGCAAACGATTTCTACGTTTATCAAGAGCTCTTTCATGGGACTACAGAAAACCGTCAAATCTTCTCCTCTTTTTTTGTTATCATGGTTATAGCCAAACTCATCATCAGTAAATGATTTCTACGTTTGTCAATAGTTTTTTCGTGAGGCTGTAGAAAACCGTCAATTTCGCTCCTTTTTCGTTATCATTGTTATAGCCAAACTCATCAATCATCAAACAATTTCTAGGTTTATAAAGATCACTTTCATTAGACTATAGAAAGCCGTCAATTCTGGTTCTCT